GAACCTTCAACACCTGCCAAACCGGCAATAGAAAGGGTGTATAGAACCCTAACTTCTTTTCCTCCCAATAAGTCTCCATCCAAGCGTGAATTAGATAAGAAAATTTACAATAAAGCTTTCGATAAAATCACGGTAGAAATGCCACTGAGTGATGCCATTAAAGTTTCACCATCTATAAAAAAATATGTAAAGGATATGGTGTCTAAAATTTACCTAACTGCGGAGCACAGCGTCATGATGATTTCAGAGGAAGTAAGTGCAATAATACAGAACGAAATCCCAATCAAAATACCTAACCATGGCAGTTTCATTCTCGAATGCAACATAAATGATAATTTTTTTCTCCGATCTCTTTGCAATCTCGGCTCCAGCGTTAATATGATGCCACACTCCGTTGCAAGATCTCTCAGATACACTGAGTTTACACCAAATCCAGTCACCTTGGTTCTTGCTGATATATCTATTAGAGTACCAAAAAGAATAATTGAGTATGTGCCTATAAAGATTAAAGATTGTCATGTACCAACTGACTTCGTTGTTTTGGAATACAAGCACGAATCAAAAGACCCCCTTATTTTGAGAAGACCATTACTCGCCACGGCTGGCCTAATCATCGATTTAAAAGAAATAAAAATATATTCAAACATTGGTGACATTCCAATGACATTCAACATGGAAAAACTAATAAAGCACCTTTTAATCGATAACCAAGCCTTCTACATAGATGACCTCTATGGGTAGACCAAAGAGTCTTTCGCGGACATATGCTCAGATGATTCCCTAGGAAATGCACTTACTATTACTGAAAAGGAAATGTTTAGTATAGACAATAGAGCTGATGAATACATGCGGTTGATGGAAGTAAGCGTAGAGTCTCAAATATCGATGACGAGGATGACAACGAGTCAAAAATTAATATCGATCGATATTTACAAAACACCGTCGATCGACAACCTTCTTCTCTAGATATTTTGAGCGCAGAAAAATCCCCCAAGGTTGAATTAAAACAATTACATGCGGACTCAAATATGACTTTCTTTATAATAACTCATATACCGTGATTGTCAATGCTAACCTATCTACTGGAGAGCTCGCTTTGTTGTTGAACAAGCTATGCAAGCATAGGAAAGCCCTCGGGTATTCTCTCGATGATATTCCAGGTATATCACCGGACCTGTGCATACACCGAATTCATCCGGAGGATGAGTCCAAATCATCTATAGAACCACAAATAAGGCTAAATGTTGGTGTCAAAAATCGTACTCTCGAAATTGACGTCTGCGATAGCTTCTGTAAAAGGAAGATCATTACTTTCCG